AGCGCATAGAGGTCGTCCAGGGTGCGATCAGGTCGGTCTCCCGGATCGCGGTCATCGAAGGCCGGAGGAGTCGACTCGTTAACAGATGGCCGACCACGTGAGCGACGAGACCGCTTCCGGCTCTGTTTGCGGATGATGAATGTGTTTGAAGCGTCGAGCCATTCGGTCGCCCTGTTTACACATTTTCGCAGGGATGCTAGTTCTGGAAGAGGGTAGTTGATACGCTCGCCCTCTGCTAGAAGGGCTCGAAGAGAACGAAGTTGTGGGACGCTGCTGTCAGATAACACCCTCTGGAACTTGGCTTTCCAAGCAGAAGGAATAGCGGCGCGTTCCGAGACTTTCGCCAAGTTTTCCTGAAGATCCGCATCGGAGAACCGGAGTCTCAAGACATGTTGATTTACGGGGTGGTCGCAAAGGTGTTTAGCATGCTCCACGCACACGACTTCACTCTTGCAATGACATATGACCTGAGAAAGGTAGCAGAACACCTTGCAATACGAACATTGAGACTGGTCTTCGGGCCGGTCTTCGTCCTCAGCTCTCTCGGTCATCCCAATCGCCCTGGCGGCTCGTCGAGACCCGAGTTCGCGCTCCGTCATCTCTCGCAAGCTAGCTTCCAACCTAACGTAGAGGCGTCACCGGGAACCAGTAATTAGTGGCCGACGGGTACCTACCATTGTGCCGTTCTGATAGATTGAGACTGTTGCGTAATGGTGACAAGCAACTCATCATGCGAGAAAACCGGTAACTTCCTGTGTTCGCGGTAACGCTGGACACAGTCACGACCATAGGGCAGCCAGTCGGGCAATGCAAAATTAACAGCCTCGTTGAAGTTAAGCTACAGCAACGAGGTCAATGAAGTTAATTGCGGAGCCATGTGGAAAACATACGCCGTGATTAAACCCAGCGTGATAGGCCTTAGGGAACGTGATAACGAATTCACCAGCACGTTGGTTGCATGCGTATATGCGAACTCCAGCTTCAGTTAAGCGCTTGGGATTCATCAATGTCACAAGTTGGAATAGGAGATCAGGCTGTGCCTCAAAAAGATCTGGCGCTTCACTCTTGATCGCGGCTTCAAATTTGTCGGCATCATCACCCGGAATGCCGTACCACGTCTTTGTTTCGCCCCAATGTTCTGATGGAATAGTCAATCACATCACATCCAGATACGGGATGGACACACTGTACTCACGGAAGTTGATGCTGTACGTATAGTGATCCTATTGCCGTTTCGTAATTGCGCCCTATCACCAAATTAAACTTTGGAGGCCTACCTCGTTGTGCCAGCAAAAGGTGGAGAATATCATCCCAACATATGTCCACGGAACAGTCATGCCAGAAATATCTGACTTGATGTACCTCAGAAGGGAGTCTGATAAGATCGGCATATTGTTCAAATTCCAGGGGTCCTTGGAGGCGGGCTCTAGCGGATGCGTCTCCATTGTAGGCATGGCGCTGAAAGAGGAAAAAAAATCAGCGGTAACAAAAAAGTAAAGCGGTCGAGGGACCTAACCTGCCGTGGGTAGTTGAATGGACGTCGGCACCGTACTCAATTTCCACTGTTTCATTCGGTGATTGAACAAGTCGCCAAAACTCATCCTCGATGTCATACTCGGTCACCACTGTGTTCCCGAGACAAGTGACCGTAGGATCGTTTAGGTCCGGCAGAGACTTGTGTGCGGGCGGGTGAGCTGCCCACCAACAACGACGAAACTCGAGGTCTCTCGCTTGAAAGCTCGATAGGCTGTGTTCTTCGCCTTCATCAAAGCCGAAATCGCCGCCGGTCCCGAAGAGACACGTATGGCAGAACCACTGGCCCCTCGGAATGCTGGTCAGCGGAGGGTCAAGACAGAACATGTGGAATCCTGTAAATGGTTAGTTTCAGGAGAGCAAAGGGGTGAACGCCGCCGTACCACAATCACAGCCATCACAAAGAAGCATCTGGTCTTCATGGTTTTTCTTCTGACAAATTTCACAAGACTGCTACGCCAGAGTCAACTACAAAATAGATTCAGCTGCAGGGGCTTACCTCCTGGGTAAGCTTCTGGTCCTCGTCTGGCTGCGCAGCGCCGGTTGCTGAAGGTATCCGACCAAATCCATCACGGGACGTGATGGCCGCTACAAAAATTTTTTAAGTTAAAATTGAGTATATCAATGAAAGCTAGCAACGTACAGGTGGACTGCTCTTGAGCAGCTGTCCTCGTGCTTCGTTTCACACCGTTAGTCTCTGACCGAGTTCTGACTCGCTCCTTGGAGTCGCCGTCATCCGGCTCTGATAGGGAACTCGACGATGACGTTAAAGGACTGGAGGGTGGTGATGAGGGGTAACGTAATGACGACTGGCGGGAATTCGAAGACTGAATGTTGGTGTGGGTTTTCAAGTGTGGGTCAGTTTTGACGGTAGGTGATACAGACAAAGCAGGCGAGTTTCGCACTCGCTCGCAGAAATGCTCGTAGGGAAGAATTATCCTCGTATAGGAGTTCTTAATCTGGGTGGACAGACCAGGAATACCTCTGTACCCAAGCATTGCACCCAAGTCCCCCCACTTCTTATTCTTCGTCACCTGAAAGATTTTTTTTAGTAAATAAAATTACTGCGGCGAAGGACGCACAGCCTCGTATCCTCCAAGATGCTGCACCTCTTTCCGGAGTAGCCAAAGATCGAGAGGCTTGTGATTGATCGTGGGCACGGACACACGTGGTTTGCCTTGCTGCTTGTGGAAGCGATACAATTGCTCCAAAAAGTTGACCTTGGCACGAGACGTGGCCTCGATGGAGTTGAGGCGCTGCAACCTGGTCTTGAAACGAAAGGTCTGGCGGAGACGAAAGGCAGCGTCAGCTCGCAGCGGACAAAAAAAAAGGAAAAATTCCATGACATGACACGGACCTCTGTATTAGTGACAAAAGGCATTTTCCAACCGACCGGAGGCACAACTTTGCAGATTCCGTAATTGACTGCTTTCTCGGAGATCGAGCGGATGTAGGTCATAGGATCCTTGAATTCCTCTGAAGTGGGATAGAAAACAGGGCAGTCCTCTAGCCCGAATGGCCTGGGTGTGGCACGGACAGGTTGATTTCTTGGGCTAGAGGTCTTCACGGAGGACAGGTCCAAGCAAGGGGAAACAGCGATCGGCGAATGTCCATTAAAAAATCATCAGTAACATCCTGAGAATTTCCTTCATCATTGCTAAGTTGAGAGGCGTGGCTTTGTAATGCAACAAGCGCATTTGTCTTTGATTTGCGAGGCGCGCGTTTAGACGAACCTGGAGTAGCTTGCTGGGACATTCTGGATTGTGGAGAAGATGGCGCATCATCCTGAGGCTTTATTGGAAGAGCGCCCTCCACAGGGATAGACAGGCAAGATGTGAACGAGTTCAGCTGCTTATTGGAAAATTCAGAAGGCAAAGGGTCTGCGGAATGGGAAGCGGCATGCATGGCCGTCCTAGCGGGCCTGCCTCTGCGCGAAGGTGTTCCCCTAGAAGACGGTGGGGGCGAGCCTGCCTGCATGTCGGAGTGAAAATGGGGGAGATACTGGAAACCGTCTGCTTGAAAACCTGTAGGGTATTGTAAGTGGCCAAGCTTCGTCACGTACTCTCCCTGGAATGAGGGAGCGGGCATTGAAACTGGGCACCGAGTTATCGTGTGTGCGGCTGGGCTTCACCGTGGGAATGCTGGTCAGTTTCGCGGAGTTTCCTTACAATGCTTCCGCGCCTTTCCAGCGCCCCGCTTCCACCCCTCTCTAACGTTCCTGGGACGTTCCTGGCTACGGTGGACGTCAACTGTCAAAGACAATGCACTAAGTAATAAATGCGAGACCGGTGGGTGGTCGCAAACAAACGAAAGTCGTAGACAGGGGCCCAGCATCGGGTTTCCAGATCCTGTGCTTATTGATACTCGCGGCAACCGCCGATCCCAATGGAGCCAAGTGCCAGGTGCGACGATATTGCTTAGCGGAATCAAACAGGTATTATTAACCCATTCCAGCCGTCCTCGTGCATACGCAGGGAGGGGCCGCGAGAGACACGAGGCTCAGCCGCCCTCCCCATCCATGGAGGTCGATTTGTTTGTTTCATTGGTGGCGTGGAAGGCGATCGCCTTTAGGAAGAACTGCCGGCAACGTCGTCATCTTTACTGGATGGCGAGATTCCGTACCAAGATTTGCAGGCAATGTGTCAAACGTGCTCAAACCGCGTGCAAGGCCAGAATCGATTGTATCGCCACCGTACTGACACTGAAGGAAATGGATTTACCAATACTTCCCTGTGTTATCGAGTGACCCATCACGAACCCGGACGACCACTCCGAACGTGCCGGAATATGTGTAGGCAAAATTACGAAGTAAAACAAGAAACATTTAGAGAATGTACTCGACTGGAGTCTAGGCTGATCGTCAAGCGTTCTACCTGATGGACGCCGTACGGAGATGAAACACACTGGGCACGCCCATGGCATGGAGGATCAAATGGCCTACCGACCAACCAGTGGTGGGTCTACGGTCTCGTGACGGCACCCATCAACGTGGCACCAACGCCAGTGGCAAAAGTAGTGGAATGACTATTCTCTTCCCAAAAAAACTTGGAAGCTCTTCTTCCTCGGGTGGAAAGAATAGTCAGCAACGAAGTGGCAGGAGAAGGCCGAAAATGAAACTTGTCATGCGCCGTGGAGAGAAGCTGACATCCCAATGACCAGCCACACAGCAGGCGACCAAGTGCAAATGAGAAAGTCATGGTGCGATCACGCATGTGATCGATCAACAGGATTCAACACGTTGTCCGTGACTCCAATTTTACGTGTACTTGCCTCCCAGAGCCCCAAATAAATTATTTGTGTTATACAGCTTGTGCGTTTTAAAGGGTTTGAACTGGTGATGTGAGTGCGACGACTTCACTGCATGTGAATGTTCCGCTTGTGCTTTTCTCAATTGTCAGCAATGGCCTAGATAACACCGCGCAACTACTGTAAACAAAAAAAGGGAACATAAAAATGTAAAGTAGATTAGCCCCCGGTGGGACTCGAACCCACAGCCTCCAGATACCACTAGGTTAGAAGTCTGACGTCATAACCATTAGACAACGAGGGCACACCTGACGGCTTCCGCATATTGCCTTATCACATCATCTCCGAGACATCCTCGTTCCCTATTACTCCATTCCCTGTTCGTAAGAAGCAAAATCGATGAGTTGGATCAATAGCTCCACCGTGCGCGACGGCGCACTTTTTGGCTTCCGCACTAGCACAATCTAAAACCTGATTAGGATATCATACAGTACGTACATACGACAGAATAACGTTGGAGTACCGCCACTGGACAGTGAGTACAACCCGAGCCAGACCACCGAGTGACTCATGGTCATTGTACACACGCAGATCGAATAGCAAGTGAAAAGTATCTTCCAGACCCACAAATCTGCTTCTGACCAGAAGATCCCGACTGCCATAACTTGGCTGTCAGCAAATAGTGTCACCTGAATTTAAAGTGTCTCTGCAAAGCTGCTCTGCGATGTGCCACGGAACAAACGAGGCAGCCACGCGTATTTTTCCCCCAGAAACCCATAGGCGGCTGGAAACGTAGAAGCCTCTGCCGCTTCTGGATGTTGAGCAAATTTGGGATTACCGCTTGTTTTCTCGGTGACCAACGGCTGCCCGATTAAATCACACAAACTCTCCGCACCACTATCATATATCCAGCGCAAGCATGTTGGCCCATGCAATAGGTCAATAGCGGTCTTTGTCCAGACCATCTGTACGGCATACTCCTTGGGTCGTGGTAACCCGTCTGAATGCCCCACTTTAGTATTGATATTCACTGTTCAAATTGTTTTTCACGAAAAGACGGTCAGCGCGTATGCTATCGCATTCATGCTCCGATGTCTGTGGTTGACCATCTGCCCCACTGTCAGTCCCAGCCTTGTTTCTTGCTCCACGCCACGTATGGCATGTCATAGTAACACTCAGTTTTGCACTTGGATACCAGCAGCGGCACATACCTTTCTTCAAACTGTCACATAGTTCCTAAGAACCTGTCCACACATCCAGACTCACATCCTGATCATCCAGATTTTAAAGGAAATCGTCATTAAAGTTTAGTACATTTCTTCCGAATTCTAGCCCATACTGTAGGTTATTAATTGGCGTGGTCGAGTGTCACCTCACCTATACGAATGGCACCCGCGGCGGACGCCCGCAGCATATGCTAAGGTGGTTCACACAGAGCAGCTGGCAAACGACTTAACCGAAACGCTCGTCCGATTGAACGAACATCTCATAGTGGAGTTGAAAAATGGCGGACACACCACATTATGGAAAGCTGCAGCAGTGACACCAAGAAGCACTGCTATTGCCTAGTCCAGAGGCCCAGAAGACACGCCACCCGACCCGGGTTTTTGCGACGTTGTAAATCGATGAGTGTTGTCCACGGAGGAAGGCATCCGCCCCCGGGAATGGCAGGAGGACGGATTTGCATCCTTAGCTTAAGGCCTCAATTGAAGGGGATGTGTATTCTATTGGAAAATTCCGAGAGCCCACGTTCCTGGACGGTTCTTCGATACATATCGATCGGCGGAGTCTTTCAAATCAGGAAAATCAATCAGTCCGCACGAGGCAGCGGTTTAAAAGTTCTGCTACACCGCTATGGAGACCGACGAAGGCACCCTTGTAGTGTGTATCAATTTGTAATGATTGCAAACCATGTCTGAATCCGAGGGGGAAGTTCCTAAATTGCATCGCGATTCGCCAACCCCGTAGTAAACCGAGGCAACAGGTTAATACGGACTGGAGTCTGAGAAATGACAAGGTTGATATATTTCATACCAACAACTGAATGAGTGAGGACTGCGCGGCAGTCTCGGAGCTCGAACATCACTCTAATTTGTACATCATGAACAAGCATTTTGAGGGCATAGCTACTGGCATAAATGGCCCCGAGTTATGCTTGAAAGTCCGGGATATCCAATTTTATTGTCAACCCATTGCTACAAGTAACGCGAGGGGGCTCACACATGGCTCCAGAACCTCGCAGTAAATAGTTATGGTTGGCCGAACACTCCCGACGCTTGTCGCGCCGACGGGATTTGAAGGTTAGGCAAGCTAAAGCCCCAGGGGTGGGACACGTATTACTTCAGCTGTTTGAAATTGAATCAATCATTTTAGGCGGAAAGATGCTGGTGAAATTTGAAACGCGGTTTATCACCGTGACAGAGACTCGCTGCAGCCAATAAGATAGCACGCGACAAGAATTCGACTTACCAATCACAGTAACCGTCACCAATCGAGAAACAAGGTTAACGATTGACAACTTGACAACGGATTTCAGCTACCGCCAGATTGTTTCCGAATAATATATACTGTGTGGTCACACGAGCACAGGCAGTCTGGCACCGAATATATCGAGCCCTGTGTGTGGAATGAAGACTGATGCGTTCCTCATTGGTCCTATAGTGGCTCGGAGGCCCTCCGCGGCACAAATTAAATGGGAGCTGCGGGTGTCTCCGCGGGAGGCTACATAATCGAAGGCCATGCGGTTCCTCTACGCGACAAATACCTGGCCCTTGAAAACGAAACAAAATACGGTCCAACCCGTGGTGGCTGTATGGTGCGTTGAAGGGATCATAAAGCTAACGTAAGGACTGCCACCCCAAAACAGTAAAACGAGCCATACAAAAGAGCCCGCATTCCGCGATAGGAAAGATCACCGTGGGCTTCAACTCAACACTGGAAATGTGAGAAAGAGAAGGGCTTCAATGGGACACATTAGGACGCAAGGAAAATATCTCTCCGTCCAACGACAAGTATCGAAGCATCCTTCACAAGTAAACTACTCGCTTGCACTCATTCAGAAGCTCAGGCAAATGGATGTTTTTGATGCCAAGGCGTTGGCTTTACTGGAGGTACCGAAGCGCAAGGTGGTAAGCACGCGATCACACAGACGTGGGTAAAAGATGAGTCCATTTCGAAGAAATCTGGAGCATGGCGCCAGAGATGCATATTTCCCTTCGAATATGGATTTTCGTGGCCAGCTATCATTGGATAGAGTGAGCGGAGTCGCGGCGCGGATGCTTTAGGTGCAACTGATTAGTAATAAAGAAAACAAAAGGTTCCTGAACTTCTAGTAGACAGGAAGGCTCGTTTTCAATTGGCTTGTAAGGACTTTCGCTGAACAAGTTGATGTTAGAAAGAAACAGAGCCGACGTGGCAGGAAGTGGTATGTATTGGGATCTGACAAGGTCTTCAATACCCAAATGGGGAAGCCCCCATGGGGGTAAGATTGGTAAAATGTTGCGTGGCAAGGAGCTTGTCGCGAAACATGTGCTAATTCCTCCGTGCAGGTATTAGTGATGCAAGTTAGTGACTTGGCGATCGGAGAGAAAGAACAGGTACGATGTTGTTTTAATTTCGTCCGTACCCAGTGACGTTTAAATATCCTGCCTGCTCTTGGGACCACAGCACCAAAAGGTCAGAACGAGCCCACATTCCTTTCACTTTAATCATCGAAAAACTGTTCATCACCTACATCAAAGGTGCTAGCCGGTACCACCTCGCTCGTGCGCCATGATCTACCACGCCAAAGTATGTGGCTTGCCTTCTCCAGCTGAACGTCCAATCTGATACACGCGCAGTCTGCTCCATTCAAATACAACCTCACCTATCATGAATACTATTCAGACACGGACTTATCATCCTGCTCGTCGGATAGCTTCGACGACCCACCCATAAGATGGTGGAAGCGGTGGTGTTGCTGTTTGTGCTTCAAGTTTTGGTGACATACCCTTCGGGTGAGCCAGTCTGGCGGGAAACCACGCGAGGACTCACCATGACTAACGGTCAGGCAGAGCCCGGATCAGATATCTCTTTAGCGAGCCTCGGCTCTATACCCAGAGCCATAGTGGGCTTGACACGCTAGGAGGGCCGCGGGAAGGCAGTAGTTGGATGTTGCGGATTAGAGACACATGGACTGTAACCTTAGCATGTAGCCAATAGCATAATCAGCCTTGAGGCGTTACTCCGATAATGCACCACGCAACTGATGGCTGTTTCATTCACGAATATAGCACATCAGTATCATTCCCCGGCAGGCGGCGAGAGGGACAACGATGCATCGGAAGCCCAGTATTGAGCCAGCACACGATGGCCTTCTATATGAGGAATTGATACGGGATCACCCGACGTGACCACTGCCAAATTGGCAAACCTTGGGGCTTGGGGTATTGCAAGCTTGGACTTACTGGACTTGTTATTCGCAGAGGGAGCGTACTTAGCACGAGACGGAGACACGGCTCGTACCGATGGCATTAAAACCGAGGATAGTGAAATTGTGATTCTTTAATCTACCATTCCCCGTCAAATCCAACGAACCCTTCCGTGAATCTTCAGGATCACGCCCCGGAACATAATTGCGGACTCACCCGTTAATAGGAACACAGGGAAGTACCTTTTCCTCTCCAACTGTGCACACCAGTTCCATGCACTAGTGAGACGTCCATCAATGCAGCTTCCTGCATCAAAAAAGTTATCTGCTCCCGAACCATCAAATCCATGGCGGAAGAAATCGCAAAGTATCTCTAAGATACAGCCTTCATCAGTGCCGAACTCATCGTCAATATACGAACGTAGTGCGGGCTTCTCCGTGATTATGGGTATTTGCCGAAGGGTATTGCAGATCGGAAGGAGGATGCGATATATTTGCGAATATTTATCTGCCATACCGGTGAGCTCGTACATATATCAGACGTGCAACACCGCTCACCAATGAACATGAGCGCATTTGGAACGTTGTGATCGCCCATGTGTATGGCCGATGAGCCTACCCACGAACCGACGCTTTGTTGCGCACGGTGAAGAATAGCGTGCATCATGTGCAACGTTTTTGGTGCAGCTTGGACACGGTTCAATCCCTGGCCAGTGTCCCGAAGGCGATAGCGCCCAGTTTCGGACAGTAGATCTTGCTCTGCTAAAGACCACAGGCGGAACATGTCTAATCATATGTTGTGAAATTTTCCACGCGAAATGTTATAAATTATTTACCATGCAGAATTTCTCGCCACAGGGTGAGACTCTGCAACACGTACGCGTATTGTTTTGCAT